TATTCTTAATTGTCAGAACTGTAACAGACTACTATACTACAAATGCAAAAAAAAAAAAAAAAAAAAAAAAAAAAAAGGTAAATCCCATAACCCTTTAATGTATAGGATCTACTGAAAATTCCAGATTACAACTGTCCAAACAGCACCTAAGACAATTTCTCTCTTCATTTCTTGGGTGCCACTTACAACTAAAGCAGAAATCCTACATTAGCAGAAACTGACAATGAAAAACAGGGGTGAAAGAGAGAGACTGAAGGCAGGCCCACAGCATGTGAGAATATGTGCTAGTCCTGCCTTGATGTGGCGTGAAGAGAGTGATCCAGACTGACACATGGGTGTATTCTGAATACGCAGAAATAAATTCAGAAGCCCGTACTGGATTACTGCAATATGACTACTGCAGGTATGGAATTAAGGTATTCTCTCAGCTGTTCTGGAGAACTACACTTACGTACAGATTTTCATGTTATATCCCTTAGCCTACCCAGATAGGCGAGTTAAGAATTGCATTATGTTATATGAAGAGAGGTAATTAGTGATTACAATGCACGTCAGCACAGTTGCACAAGACATGAAGGTTTCCAGCGTTGGTTGAGGTGTCCTGCCTTATTCTGCAACTTTTTATCAGCAGCAGCCAAGTAGCCTGCTAGCACGCCTGTTCTTGGCATGCACCAGACTGAAGCGATGAGCACCACAGGTTTCACAGTTCTTGCAGGAGGTCCTCCAAAGAAAAACACACATCTCTTGTATAGCCCAAGTAACCAAGTCCCAACCTAGAATCAAATCCTCCCCCACACAATGTTTAATCTATAAATAATTCCTGACATATTATTCAGCTTTCTGCAGAGTGCTGACACCTCAAAATCCTTCCATAACTATGTTATAATTGCAAGAACTATCCCTAGCAATATGACACAAGGATCTTCCTTCCCCTAGTGCATTTATACACATGCACATGTGAAAAGCTACTATCAAATATAATGAAATTACTGCTAGATAATGAAGCACAACCTGGCAACTACACTGTTCTTAGTTCAACCCCCAGAGAGCAATAAAAAACTCGGGGAAAACTTCACTGCATTATTACCTTGCCACTTAACATCTGACACAGCAACTCTCACCACATTTTTACAGTACCTATTCTTAATTACAGGTTTATATTACATGACTGTATTCCTCATCCACGTGTATCTACAACTCGTTAATTAGTTTACAGATACTAAATATGAAGACAATGGTGTTTGGGTTTGCCTTTTTTTTTTTTTTTTAAACAAAATATCTGCCAACAGAACTCAGCATAATTTTAAAAGTACTTTTTCAGTAACACCCTTATATCTTATCCTAGTTTTTCCTTGCATCATAGTAGTTATTAATCATTTGTACATGGATGTTCAAGTGCCCTTCCATTTTATGATAGTTATCATTTCTGCAGAGACTTATCCAGAATGCAAAATTTATTTCAACACAGCTTTCATTTCTCAACACATGCTGCTAATGCACCTGGTAAATAAAAGCTTGAAAAGCAAAGTAACTCTGAATTTTGTTTGTAAGTCGAGAAGAATTACTTAACAAAAACCTTCCAGGGTGTGACACCGTACTTAGGGCACAACTTCATTGACCAGCAGCACAGACTGGAAACTTTCCAGCTGCAGTTATACTTTCAAAATTTTGAATTTCACTCAGATCCAAAGGCAAATTTTTATTTAAAAGAAAAAAAGATAAAGCAAACCCCCATGCACCAGACACCTGCCTTTCCATTAGTCCTACAAAGACCTCAGAAGGGGACACCGCACCAGACACTACCTTAGCTGGAAACTGCCTGGAAGGGAAACATTGAGAGAACATTTTTCTGCCCTTACACTGCTGTTGGCCTTCAGTCGCCTTCCTTAGCCTTTATTTGGCACTCCCAGCCCAGAACCTCTGCCCACAGCTGGAACCAAGTCCTTCCTTCCTCCAGGAACCTTTGCAAGGTAGAAACATCTGCATTTTCTTTCATTTTCTCAATAAAAAGGTGAAGTGGAAGGCCCCTTTTTTAAATAGAGGCTAAACAGGATTCACCTGAAATGGGCAGGACAGTCACTCAGTTCTTCACCTGAGGGAATTCAGCTCTATTTCCCAGCTCTCTGAAGCATGGCCTAAACTTCCCACATAATTGCTGCTGGGTTAAGGAGGCATGCCAGAGGCTCTTAATCCCTCCTTTGGAGCTGCTCTGCTTTGCCACTCAGCAGGCTGCAGAGAGAGGGTATAAAAGTGATTTTAACCTCATACACAGGGTCCTTATCTAAAAGAAAAGTGTTGTAAGTCTCAGTCACCAGTCCAAGAGCAATGTTTTTTTTAAACTATCACAATCTCTGGATAAAACCCATATCTAAGAGCTGTGGTGGAATGGACTTGACATTTTCTTTTTTTCATTAAAAACACCACAGTACGTATACAAAAAAAAAACCAAAAATAAGGTGGTATTATGCAAGTTGTTGGGAGCAGTTCCCAAAAGCAGGCTTTTCTACAACAAACTGGAGTTTTCCGTTCCAAGGAGGTTTACCTTCCAATAACCAACCTGTATTTATACTGTGCCCCCGCAGTGACGCATCGCAGCCAGTAAAGAAATTCCACTCAGGAACTACATGTTGGTTGGTCTAAGGAAGTATTTTCTCCCCTGCCTTTTACACTCTGAACTATGCCTAAATTTCTCAGGAATTATTACCTAGGAATAATCTTTAAAAAAAAGCTTTCACGTTAGCAAACCCTCTGCTTTAGCCCTGTGGGAACACGATATCCCATTTGGCGTTTCCACAAATAGATCAGAAGTTACTACGTGCACTGCTCCAGTAAACGCAGATGTAGTTTTGAACAGAGGCCTGTATTTTATGTTAGCAGTATGAATCACAATAAGTATGATAAAATAAGCGCAGGATCATTCTATTGAACAACAGCAGTGTTTGGCCCTGAATGCTGAGGCATTATGAGAAGCCGACATACTGGCACAAGCACCATTTGCAAGTCACACCATCGGCTTTTCCTGGCGTTTTGCTGCCTTTCTCAGAGGGAACACAAGCAAGATGACAACCAACCTAAGTAAGCATTTGAATTTAGATCAGTCTTAGAGCACTTCAAGTTCAAACCAGACTCCTGGAAGTTTTGGAAGAGGAACCATGGGTATAAATGGAGCGTATTTCAAATCACAGCATTGAGCCAATTACGAGTTTCCAGAAGATCCACAGTCTTGGGGATATATCCCACAACACAGCTACTGTAGCATTAACATTTCGTGCTGGAAAAAAAAATACTGAAAGGTAGCACAGACATAAAGAAATATTCCTAACAACATACTGTGGTCTTCTTCCTCCAGTATTTACATTCCCGTTTTCCAAATTCACTTTTCCTAGTTTTTAGTATTTGAGGTAAATGCCATACATCTTCCAACAGAAAGCAAAATCATGCACACGAAAATGGAAGTTATTACCTCACGCGGGTGTAATTCAACAGGAAGCCAGAAAGCTTCCTTCAAGGTAGAAGTTTTGGCACATGGTCTTTAAACACAGACTCTGCAAGCTAAACTTTCTGCTGCTGGTAGAATAGTTTTTCACCCCCACAACCTGTTCCTCAGCATTCAGGTTTAATGAAATGCCTTAGTAAACCAGAATTAAATATGCATGTACTATCCAAATACAAACACATCTTTAAGGAAAATAAGTAGCAGATGTTTTTTTCCTCTGCCTTGTTTCTATTGACTCACACAGACCCTGCTTGTGCACGTCAAGACATCTATAGCTTGGAGCCTCCTTAAGAGGCCACGTGTTCCTTAAAAGCACAAAGCAGATGTTTAGATCTATGAGAAGTCCCAACGGCAATAGACACATACTGTTAACTTTTCTAAACTCTTCTAATAATTTAAGGAAGATTTTTTTTTTTTTATCCTTGAGAGATTTTTGGACAACAAATTAACATAAACCTTAAGAAGTCTACTTGTTTTACCCCATTTTCAATTTGTTTCTGTTTTAGAGAAGTGTTTGATTAAAAAAAGATAATTGAACTGGTCCAAGACTTTTGTATGCACAGTTATGTGCTACTGTATGGTAAATCCTACTAAATGATCCTCATTGACTGAAACCCTTCAAATCTCCCTATATTCGATGTTTATGGCTATTAAAAACCCCACATGGGAAAAATGAATGCTGCAGCATTAAGTTTACAAACCTAGCTTGCAACATCACTCCCTCAATGGTTATTGCATATTTCGTAAATATTTTTAGTCTCAAGCTACTTCAGAAGAACAACCACTGGTTAGAGCAGCTCAGCCCTAAGCACTTCTCATTGCTCACAGGCAGGACGGGCAATGACTCAGGCCTCCCCACAAGACTTTGGAAAAGGCATTGCTGGCCAGGAGGCTGTAACACCCATCTGCTTCGGTTCCTGCGCAAGTCTGCCAGCTCCACCGGGCTTTCACAGAGAGGGCAAATGCTTGTCTGACACTTGCTGCGGGCGCCTGCCCTGCCTCAGCTGGACACCGCTCCTTGCTGCCGTTGTAAACAGCTTCTTTTGGATAACTTTCACAGTCGTTACCTGCTGTCATATCTCTCTGAAACAAGACAGTCAAATATTTTGAAAATCATGATTTTACCCCAGTGCTTGAGGTGTTTAAAATGGCATGACATGTTTTTTCTAAAAGAGACAGGGTAGTCAAGCTGTGAGGGAAAAGATACAACTCAAGTGGCAAACCCAGAAGCTCTCAGTAGTTCTTTCCTGCTTCCAAAGGTTCATTTCTAGGCCTGCTGGCAAAGCGTGATGCCCATAAAGGAATTTTCCCAGGTCAGCGTTTTTCTTTTGTTTTTAAATATCTTAGAAACTTGCTGAAAATATTAACATGTTCTCTTACATCTGACTATTGATTTCATGCTGCCAGGTGAGGTACTAATAAATACACGCCTAGCGCTTTGCGCCACGTTATTTTACGAACCCATACTGTTACCGTACTTATTATAAGTAAATACATCACATACCGACACGAATCGGAAACCGTAACCTGGCTACCGCAAGAAAGCCAGGCCCCGACACAAACCCCACCGGCCGCACTCGGAGGCCTTACGGGCAGGGGAGCGGGCACCGGGGCACCCCGGGAGGGGAGAGGCGGGGTGAGGGGCTGCTCCCGCCTTCCGAAGCGGGGTGGCCCGGTCCGACCGTCCGGGCTACCGGCGGACAGCAGCTCATCGCACCCGCCAGGCTGAGGGTTTGCTGGTCGGCGAAGGCAACCCTGGCGTCTGAAGTGCGTTTAAAAATAAAAATTAAGGGGCTACCTCCAGCATTGGTTCTGAGCGGCGCGCTGACGTACGAACCGGGTTTTTTTTTCCAAGGTTTATTTAGGGGCAGTGAAGACCTAATCGAAGCACGATCAGGCTCGTGCACGCGCCTTTGTTGTTCGCTGTTTCCAGTGGAGGCCGGAGGGTAAGAAGGCAGACTCGGGAGGCGCCAGGAGTCACCCGGGATCAACCCCCATCTCCCAGGCGCCTGCCCCGGGGCTGAA